TTACTCACTACTTGTAGATAATGCCTCAGCAAAATGTACTAGTTCCGTGCAGGTGTCCTCACAAGATCCACAGCGAACACAGCTATCAATGCAGCCAGTACTCGGTAGCAGCAACAGACATCCGTTGGAAACCCAAACTCGTTGATCGTCACAAGCAATTCTCTCCAAGTCTTGCACGAGGCTAACCTCTAGGATGTCGAATGTCTCCACAATGCGACGGCAGCTTCAGTCTCTACTAGGTCTTTCTTAACGAAATAATAAACACTCTCTTATAGAAATAAAATCAGGATTTCCCTTTAAAAAACTCTGTAGGTATGGTTTTGTTCTCTCTTTATCGTTTCCTTTGGTCGTTTTCTCCTTCACCAACCCCACTAACGTCTCTCCTCCCTTCTTTCAACTTTTCCCTCTCTTTTCTTTCCCAGCAACCAGTCCACTCTCCCATTGGCCACAACTTAACAAGTTACCTCCTTAAAGTTTTGACCAAAGATACGTGGGAAACTTAAACTTAAAAGTAAACCAACCTATTCACTTGTAAATTTATTAAAAACATTGCTTCAAAAGAAATGCATTAATGACATTACAAATCAGGAGCTATTCGATCACCTTTTAAAATCTAATAACAATGAATTATAACAAATAAACTCTATACTTGGTTTTAGCAAGGTATTACACACATTTAGTTAATCTGACTCTGGGGAAGTAGATAAAGGGCTTCAATTACAAAATCCGAAGTATCTCGTTAAGTTTGACTGATAAGGAGAAACATGAGCTCTGAAAAGTACACTTCAGTAGTATTCATTTCACAATGACTGAATATAACAGCTTTTGAGTCGTGAGATAAGTCCTTCCCGGTGTAACAACAACACACATAAGATCACTTTATATTGTGTCTTTGAGCTAATAAATGTGGCTGAACTATGTCTCATTTGCTCAGTTAGCATGAAGACTCCATCAGTGCTAAAGTACTAAGGAAACATCCTAAGGAAATGTTCCATTTGGCCCTGCCCCATCCTGGATATGGTGTAGATAGGATGGGCATAAACCAAGCCCATTATTAGAACGCTGATTAATTATTTACAGTGCCTTCAGAAAGTATTCATACCCCTTGACTTATTCCACATTTTGTTGTTACAGCCCGAATTAAAACATGATTAAATATAAAAAACAAAATCTCACCCATCTACACACAATAACCGATAATGACTAAGTGAAAACATGTTATAATTATTTTGAGTGCATTTATTGAAAATGAAACACAGAAATATCTCGTTGACGTAAGTATTCACACCCCTGAGTCAATACTTTGTAGAAGGACATGTGACAGCGATTATAGCCGGGATTTTTTCTGGGTAAGTCTAAGAGCTTTCCACCCTGGATTGTGCAACATTTGCCCATTATTTTCTTGCCATTTTTCAGGTCTTGCCAAAGATCTTCACATAGATTTAAGTCAAAACTGTCACTCGGCCACTCAGGAACATTCACTGTCTTCTTAGTAATTCCAGTGTAGATTTGGCCTTGTGTTTTAGGTTATTGTCCTGCTGAAATGTGACTTCATCTTCCAGTGTCTGGTGGAAAACAGACTGAACCAGGTTTTCCTCTAGGATTTTGCCTGCGCTAAGCTTAAATTCTCCCCAGTCCTTAACGATTACGATTACAAGCATACCCATAACATGATGCAGCCACCACTATGCTTGAAAATATGAGGAGTGGTCCTCAGTAACGTATTGGATTTGCCCCAAACATAACACTTTGTATTCAGGACAAAAAGTTAATTGCTTTGCCACATTTTTTGCAGTATTACTTTAGTGCCTTGTTGCAAACAGGATGCATGTTTTGGAATATTTTTATTCTGTACAGGCTTCCTTCTTTTCACTCTGTCAATTACGTTAGTATTGTGGAGTAACTACAATGTTGTTGATCTATCCTATCACAGCCATTAAACTTCGTAACTGATTTAAAATCATGGTGAAATCACTGAGCGGTTTCCTTCCTCTCCGGCAACTGAGTTAGGAAGGACGCCTGTATCTTTGTACTGACTGGGTGTATTGATACACCATCCAAAGTGTAATTAATAACTTCACCATGCTCAAAGGGATATTCAATGTCTGCTTAAGTTTTTTTACTCATCTACCAATAGGTGCCCTTTTTTACGAGGCATTGGAAAACCTCCCTGTGCTTTGTGGTTGAATCTGTGTTTGAAATTCTGAGGGACGTTAAAGATAATTGTATATGGGGGTACAGAGATGAGGTATTCTTAAAAAAAAAAAATGTTAAACACTATTATTGCACACAGTATGAGTGCATGCAATTGTGACTTTTAAGTACATTTTTACTCCTGAATGTATTTAGGCTTGCCATAACAAAGGGGTTGAATACTTATTGACTTAAGACATTTCAGCTTTTAATTTGTAATACATTTGTAAAAATGTCACACAAAAAACATTATCCCACTTTGACATTATGGGGTATTGTGTGAAGGTCAGTGGCAAAAACATATTTTTAATCCATTTAAAATTCAGGCTGTAACACAACTAAATGTGGAAACACTTAAGGTGTGTGATTACTTTCTGAAGGCACTATAATTAATGAGACAAGGTCTAAGGGCATTCCATAGCAACAACGTCTGAGATAAGTCATGGTCCAATGACTGTACCTGTTAGCAGCATGTGTCCCGAGTCCAAAGCTACATCCATAAATCGGTAGACACCAAAGGGGTAGAAAGAAGCTAGCGGACAGGGCTAGGGGTCAAAATGGATCTGAGCCTGACCCTCCTAGTCACCAATCTGTACTGTACAAATGGAGGAAAAGGTGTGACTGCAAATTAAACAACAGCAGATGAAGAGATATCATACTAGCATTTTGTTCAGTAACACCAAGGCCTTGAATGGAAAGAGATTGACAACAAATATACATGCACCTTCACTATACTAAATCAATAGCTTTCTACATGGAAAGCAATTAGTAATATACAAACTTTGCAATATAAAATATTATTTGTAAATAAAGCACTGTATATAAAAATAAGGACTTTAGCCAAGAACAAATTCAAGCAAATTATCATCAATTGTCTAGGTGTACAATATTGTACTGGATTGAAAACTCCCTTCAAGGTATGTATGTACACATCAAAATATAATATCCTCAACAGAAATAACAACTTGTTTAAAATACACAGACAGTAGCTATTAAAAATAAAAGGTATATAAAATGGCACAACTGTAAACATGACATATAGAGCTACAGTGCTTGCTTCTGCTATGAGGTCTCTGTTGTTGTAACCAACGCCACCCTAATGACGGGCCTACATTGCCCTGTTACTTCTATGGCAATTGTGCTTCTTCAATAGGGAGGTTTCATACCCACACAGTTGGCACATGTAACATAGAAAGTAACAAAATGCCTGCTCAAAACGATGCACAGAAGCTAATTATACACTGAGTGTACAAAACATCAGGAACAACTTCCTAATATTGAGTTGCACCCCCTTTTGCCCTCAGAACAGCCTCAATTCGTTGGGGCATGGATTTATAATATAATAATATAATATAATGTCATTTAGCAGACGCTTTTATCCAAAGCGACTTACAGTCATGCGTGCATACATATATATATTTTTTTGTGTATGGGTGGTCCCGGGGATCGAACCCACTACCTTGGCGTTACAAGCGCCGTGCTCTACCAGCTGAGCTACAGAGGACTTCAAGGTGTCGAAAGCGTTACACAGGGATGCTGGCCCATGTTGACTCCAAAGATTCCACAGTTGTGTCAAGTTGGCTGGATGTACTTTGGGTGGTGGACCATTCTTGATACACACAGGAAACTGTTGAGCGTGAAAAACACAGTAGCGTTGCAGTTCTTGACACACTCAAACCGGTGCGCCTGGCACCTACTCCCATACCCCGTTCAAAGGCACTTAAATCTTTTGTCTTGCCCATTCACCCTCTGAATGGCACACATACACGATCCATTTCTCAATTGTCTTAAGGTTTAAAAATCCTTCTTTAACCTGTCTCCTCCCCTTCATCTACACTGATTGAAGTGGATTTAACAGGTAACATCAATAAGGAATCATAGCTTTTACCTGGATTCACCTGGTCATGGAAAGAGCAAGTTTTCCTAATGTTTTGTACACTCAGTATATACCGTCAAATTATACAATTGCATGGTACATGTTCAGCATACAAGGTGACTGAAGACTACCAAAGGAAGACATAGCCTACTGGACCAAACCTACTAGGCCATGGTTTGAGGTTGAGTTTGAACTGAAATACTTATTTCATCAGTGTACAGCACTAGATAACACTCACGAAAAGTAGCCAGTCTTTCTCTTCGTGTTGAGACCACCATTCTGTCTGTGTGCCTGCCTGCCTGTTGCTTCCCCTGGCATCTACTCCATCATTGGACTGTAGACAAACATTACTTCCTCCGGAACTCTATCTCAGCTTCCTGTTCCTGTCTGGAGCTAAAAGCTGAGTGAGGCTCGACCACAGCCAACGGCCACTTTAAATAAAAGTAACAGAAACCAATGTGACAGACCTATCTATGAAAATGCAGCACCAAAAAGAGACTGACAATATGACAAGGGCCAAGTCATACTTACAATAGGAACTCTACTGCAGCACATATATGTTGAGTAACATATAGTGACATACTACTTTGCCAACTGGTCAGTGTGACATGCCTATGCATAAGAGGACAAATGGACAAACTAATGCAACACCATGTCAGAAATATGACAGTTTGTACAGTGTGTGGTTTTCACATGGACACTTAATAAACATTTCTCTGGCTGGTGGTGTGATGTTCAACAACAAAACGTCCCAGTCTCTGGCTTTTGCTGTTAAATAATCTTAAGGAAGCATTTTTTAGTAGATACAAATCCCCTACACATACAGAACTTAACTAAACCTTTAGCTTAACTACAGACCATAACTTACCAATGTAAAAAATAAACATGTATAAGAAAACAAAAATATAAGACTGGTTCTTGTGTTGTGGTGCTACTCCACCAAGATCTGCTCAGTTTTTATGGGCGTAATGAGGTGGCCTGCGCCGGACGAATCAGAGCCCTCGTCTTTGGGAAACTCCTCCCCCTGCAGCAGCTCCACCCCTGCCTGCCCCTGCAGGCCTGCTACCGCCCCTTGGCTGAAGCACAGGTGCTTGATGACCTCGTTGGGGCTGGAGAAGGTGGTCTCACAGACATTACACTTGTAGGGCCTGGCCGAGCCTAAGTACAGCACCTCCATCTGGCTGGTGTCGTCCCCTGCAGCACACAGCTCCATACTCTGCCGGTCCACCATGGTGTAGGCTTCGGCGCCCTGGCTCAGACACACGTGGCGTGCTGCCTGGTTGGCACGACAGAAGCTCTTGCCACAGGCGCTGCACTTGTAGGGCTTACCCGTGTGTATGTACATGTGCTCTCGCCAGTGGCTCTTCTGGATGAACTTGCGACCGCAGGTGGAGCACTCGTACTTTCTGCGCTTCACCTCGTGGTCCAGGTCAGCACTCTCAAGGTTGTCGATATCCGCAATGTCCGATGGGGGTGGGGTGTTGGCCTGGGACTGATACCCCGTCGCCCACCCCGACGTCGACAACTCAGCTCTGGGAGAGTCCATGTTGGAACCAGAGAGAGGTGCTTGCTCGCTGTCACTCAGCATCTCAACTGTCATGTCAGTGGACGGTTCTCCACCTCCCCTTAGCAGCACCTCCTCTACATCTGGTGTGGTGGCTCCTCCTCCTGGGATGACAGGGGAGTCTGCATCGCTGGGTTCGGCCACCAGGGGGAGCTGGGCCTGGCTGTGCTGCAGGAGATGCTCCCTCAACAGGTTCCTCTGGTTGAAGCGGCTGGCACACAGGTGGCAGGAGTAGTGCTTCCTGAAGGAGGCACTCCTCTTCATGATGCTTGGTTTCACATGGAGAATGGTGTTGGAGTTATCCGGGTAGGGAGCCTCTCCTGTCAGGGTGTCACCTCTATGCTTGTCCTCATACGAGGCCGGGTGGCCACTGGTTGAAGCCTCCACCATTTCCTGAAATGAAGAGTCCAGCTTGGACGCATGGTTGGCGAACGCCGCTGCTACAGCAGACGTGGACGGATACTTCCCATCAGGGAGGCTGTCCAGGTCAAAGGGCGAGGAGAGCTGGCGTCGAGCAGGCAGCCTGCCGGACAGCGCCACCTGCTGGTCAGAGATCTGAATGCCAAAGAGGGACGTAGAGAGGGGCATGCTTGGCTCGGGGTGGGAGAAGGCTGTCTGGCTTGCCTCCTGGAGGAGGGGGTAGGCGTGAAGGAACTTGACCCCCTGCTCCAGCCGGGCTGGGTCGATGAGCTGAGGGGCCAGCTTCCCTGTGTACATCAGGTTGAGGAGGTAGCTGAAGATGTCTGGCTGGATGTCGGCTGCCTTCAGGCGGACACAATCACTGAAAAGAGATAGTTAGATATTTATTTATGGTATTAAAACATCTATATATAAAAAATTGGACACTTCAAAACGTCTTGGGAATTCAAAACACTGATGACGCAAACAATAGCTTTTATTGATCACCAAACATGTACATTGTCCTGTCCTTATTGAGTTGCACATTATTTACTACAACCTTTAGCTGAACTTGTTTGAATCGTCCAAGCAGGACTGGGTTGAGTTTCAACTGACCTTTCTCACAGACATAAATCATGAGTGAACATGGTGTTAGCCTAGCTTAATGTAGCCTACAGGTAGAGGCGTTGCCGTGGTGCTTACCATACCTGTCCTGGTGTATGAAGAGCATTCTGAAGTAGTTGGAGAAGGCGGCCAACACGGCCTTGTGGGCTTTGAAGAAGACATCGCCGATCACGACGGTGCAGTCGCACAGGAAGCCAAACTCCCTCTGAGCGTTGAGCTGCTGCAGGAGCATAAGACCATGTTTGGCCAACTCCATTCTTCAATCTGCACAAAGAAAGGCACAGAGACTAAGACAACAGTCAGTCAGTCGGTTGGTTAGTTTCCTGTCTGGAAGAGGACCACAATGCCACCAAAGAGACATTTCCTCTAGGCTATTTGGTCCTTGAAAAATCATTGGTTATGGTAGCCGATTTAGAACTACTACAAATATACAGCGCAGTCGGAAAGTATTCAGACCCCTTGACTTTTCCTTTTTACGTTACAGCCTTATTCTAAAATGGATTAAATACACATTTTTCATCAATCTACACACAATACCCCATAACGACAAAGCAAAAACTTTCTGAATGCACTGTAGGCCTAATTATTCCGTGATTTCATTTCTGATCAGTTTTGATGATGTAGCCACTTTAGTTTGTTTCCAGCCGTTTCAATTGAAGGGTGTTGCGCTAGTCTGTTGCACTTGTTGAGGTAAAAACCATGTGCCGTTATTATGAGCAAGACTAAATCGAATGTTGTCTTCAACTGGGTTTTCCATACAAAGTATTCCATTGCAAAGGGAACAAAGGGTTTTTGGTCGCTTTCTCGTTTTAAAACATGAAACAATAACCCTTCAACATCTCAAATGGCGAGACTGACTAGCTACCACATGGACACTTCATTTGTGTGTTTGTGTCGGGAGCATGCCGTCTATTTAGTCACACTATGCCCACATTATTCTGACATATTTTAGAATGTCAAAATGAGAATGTCAATGCATAATAACATTGGGTAAGCCTATGAAAAAATGCTTTATTTTCTTGCAGTAATGCATACTTTTTTGCATACATTTTTGGGGGGAGTTTTTTGTCTTTAGGCTATTACAACAATTAAATGGTCCTTGAAAATAATTAAGAGCTTGAAAAAGGCCTTGAAAGGCCTTGAATTTGACTTGCCAATGTCTGTATGAACCCTGTATAGGCTACTTGCTCAGCCCACAAATGAAATATAAAAATCACCTGCTATTGAAATGATGCGCGCATCATTCACTTTCCTGTCAGATCTTGACCCGGGCCAGTATTTCTTTTCTATTCGGGCCAGTAGCTTTCAGTTGGCACTGGCCCGGTGTGCCACTGGCAAATTTACCTGAATGTCGAGCCCTGCTGTGTGTGGTGCACGTAGTAGAGGTCTTCATGGATCCACGGAATTCTAAATAATGTCACGGGTCTGGGTCGGATCTGATATGATTGTCACAGGTCTCAGGTATGTGTAACTTTAACTGACTTGTCCGGAAGGGCCTGTACAGATTTGAACGTGACAGCAGCAGTCAAAAGAGAGAGAGACATTTGTATAATTTATGCGGCTGCTGTTGCTTTCACGAGTGGAGCGTGGTGCGTGTAGCTTGTTGTTGGCCAATCATAAGTCATTAAAGCGGCAATAGGCATAGAGCCTCCGTGTGTGGCAAAAGTTGAGAGATATCGAATCAAAGGAAGATGGAATTAAAATGCCAGAATTCAAAGTTAAAGGAGAAGGATAGGCTACAAGGACCAGCCAACAGTTAGGCTGCTACATAATATTCAGCCTCAATATTTTTTTTTAGTGTAGGATGATAAAGTTCATGCACTGCAGCCTCAATTAGCCTCCCTAGCTAGCGTTAGCTAGCTTCTCCCGGTTTGATTCAGTAAAGACAGGTACTACGTAATCATATTTGATTATAAATAACCTAGCTTTTACAGCTATTAGTTTACTATTTGTATTTATTATGGATCCCCATTAACTGCTGCCAAGGCAGCAGCTACTCTTCCTGTGGTTCGGCAAAATTAAGGCAGTTATACAATTTTAAAAACATTACAATACATTCACAACAGACTTCACAACACAAAGTTTGTGCCCTCAGGCCCCTACTCCACTACCACATATCTACAACACAAAATCCATGTGTATGTGTGTGTACGGTGCGTATGTTATCGTGTCTGTGCCTATGTTTGTGTTGCTTCACAGTGCCCGCTGTTCCATAAGGTGTATTTTAAATCTGATTCTACTGCTTGCATCAGTTACCTGATGTGGAATAGAGTTCCATGTAGTCATAGCTCTATGTAGTACTGTTTTTTATTTATTTTATTTCACCTTTATTTAACCAGGTAAGCCAGTTGAGAACAAGTTCTCATTTACAACTGCGACCTGGTCAAGATAAAGCATAGTAGTGCGATAAAAACAACAACACAGAGTTACATATGGGGTAAAAAAGTCAAAAAATACAACAGATGTAGCAAGTTATGGAGGTAAGGCAATAAATAGGCTATAGTGCAAAATAATTACAATTAGTATTAACACTGGAATGCTAGATGTGCAAGAGATTATGTGCAAATAGAGATACTGGGGTGCAAAAGAGCAAAATAACTAACAATATAGGGATGAGGTAGTTGGGTGGGCTAATTTCAGATGGGCTGTGTACAGGTGCAGTGATCGGTAAGGTGCTCTGACAACTGATGCTTAAAGTTAGTGAGGGAGATAAGAGTCTCCAGCTTCAGAGATTTTTGCAATTCGTTCCAGTCATTGGCAGCAGAGAACTGGAAGGAATGGCAGCCAAAGGAGGTGTTGGCTTTGGGAATGACCAGTGAGATATACCTGCTGGAGCGCAGACTACAGGTGGGTGCTGCTATGGTGACCAATGAGCTAAGATAAGGCGGGGATTTGCCTAGCAGTGATTTATAGATGGCCTGGAGCCAGTGGGATTGACGACGAACATGTAGTGAGGACCAGCCAACAAGAGCGTACAGGTCACAGTGGTGGGTAGTGTATGGGGCTCCCATAGTCTGTTCTGGACTTGGGGACTGTGGAGAGACCTCTGGTCCTGAGACAATTGCAATTTTTCTAAGTCCCTCTTTGTGGCACCTGACCACACGACTGAACAGTAGTCCAGGTGTGACAAAACTAGAGCCTGTAAGACTTGCTTTGTTGATGGTGCTGTTAAGAAGTTATAGCTGAGCTTTATTATGGACAGACTTCTCCCCATCTTAGCTACTGTTGTATCAATATGTTTTCACCATGACAGTTTATATTCCAGGGTAACTCCCAAGCAGTTTAGTCACCTCAACTTGCTCAATTTCCACATGATTTATTACAAGATTTAGTTGAGGTTGTAGGTTTAGGGTTTAGTGAATGATTTGTCCCAAATACAATGATTTCAGTTTTAGAAATATTTAAGACTAACTTATTCCTGTAGCTCTTTGTTAAGTGTTGCAGTCATTTCAGTCGCTGTAGTAGCTGACGTGTATAGTGTTCAGTCATCCACATACAGTGAGGTATTTGATCCCCTGGTGATTTTGTACGTTTGCCCACGATGATCAGTCTATAATTTTTATGGTAGGTTTATTTGAACAGTGAGAGACAGAATAACAACAACAAAAATCCAGAAAAACACAATTTATAACATTTTTGACATTTTAATGAGGGAAATAAGTATTTGACCCCTCTGCAAAACATGACTTAGTACTTGGTGGCAAAACCCTTGTTGGCAATCACAGAGGTCAGACGTTTCTTGTAGTTGGCCACCAGGTTTGCACACATCTCAGGAGGGATTTTGTCCCACTCCTCTTTGCAGATCTTCTCCAAGTCATTAAGGTTTCAAGGCTGACGTTTGGCAACTCGAACCTTCAGCCCCCTCCACAGATTTTCTATGGGATTAAGGTCTGGAGACTGGCTAGGCCACTCCAGGACCTTAATGTGCTTCTTCTTGAGCCACTCCTTTGTTGCCTTGGCCGTGTGTTTTGGGTCATTGTCATGCTGGAATACCCATCCACGACCCATTTTCAATGCCCTGGCTGAGGGAAGGAGGTTCTCACCCAAGATTTGACGGTACATGGCCCCGTCCATTGTCCCTTTGATGCGGTGAAGTTGTCCTGTCCCCTTAGCAGAAAAACACCCCAAAGCATAATGTTTCCACCTCCATGTTTGACGGTGGGGATGGTGTTCCTGTAGGCAGCATTCCTCCTCCTCCAAACACGGCGAGTTGAGTTGATGCCAAAGAGCTTGATTTTGGTCTCATCTGACCACAACACTTTCACCCAGTTCTCCTCTGAATCATTCAGATGTTCATTGGCAAACTCCAGACGGGCCTGTATATGTGCTTTCTTGAGCAAGAGGACCTTGCGGGCGCTGCAGGATTTCAGTCCTTCACGGCGTGGTGTGTTACCAATTGTTTTCTTGGTGACTATGGTCCCAGCTGCCTTGAGATCATTGACAAGATCCTCCCGTGTAGTTCTGGGCTGATTCCTCACCGTTCTCATGATCATTGCAACTCCACGAGGTGAGATCTTGCATGGAGCCCCAGGCCGAGGGAGATTGACAGTTCTTTTGTGTTTCTTCCATTTGCAAATAATCGCACCAACTGTTGTCACTTTCTCACCAAGCTGCTTGGCGATGGTCTTGTAGCCCATTCCAGCCTTGTGTAGGTCTACAATCTTGTCCCTGACATCTTTGGAGAGCTCTTTGGTCTTGGCCATGGTGGAGAGTTTGGAATCTGATTGATTGATTGCTTCTGTGGACAGGTGTCTTTTATACAGGTAACAAGCTGAGATTAGGAGCACTCCCTTTAAGAGTGTGCTCCTAATCTCAGCTCGTTACCTGTATAAAAAGACACCTGGGAGCCAGAAATCTTTCTGAGAGGGGGTCAAATACTTATTTCCCTCATTAAAATGCAAAATAAATTCATAACATTTTTGACATGCGTTTTTCTGGATTTTTTTGTTGTTATTCTGTCTCTCACTGTTCAAATAAACCTACCATTAAAATTATAGACTGATAATTTCTTTGTCAGTGGGCAAACGTACAAAATCAGCAGGGGATCAAATACTTTTTCCCCCTCACTGTACATAGACACACTGGCTTTACTCAAAGCCAGTGGCATGACGTTAGTAAAGATAGAAAAAAGTAAGGGGCCTAGGCAGCTGCCCTGGGGAATTCCTGATTCTACCTGGATTTTGTTGGAGGCTTCCATTAAAGAACACCCTCTGTGTTCTGTTAGACAGGTAACTCTTTATCCTCAATATAGTAGGT